TCCATGACATCCACTGGGTAAGCAAATGCTTATTTAAAGAGGTGTAATCTAGGGCTAGAGAGATGGCTCAACCATCAAAGACACAGTTGATCTTGCAGTAGACCCAGGTTCAAGCCCCAGCACCCACATGGCAGCTTACAATCAACTTTAACTCCAGTCCCAGGGGATCCCATGCCCTCTTTTGGCCTCTGAAGACACTGCATGCATATGGTCACAGACATACAAGCGGGCAAAGCCACCACACACACAATGGAATCAGCTAAATCATACACACACATAAAAACCACAAAAACCATCTAATGATGATGGTCCATGTTTGTTTTTATCCTAGAGGGAGCTTGTTTATAAAATTTTGATGTTTTGCCTACATGTATATCTGTGAGGGTATCGGGTTCCCTGGAACTCAGCCACTAGAGTTTGCCTCTTAAAGAACCCCCTGTGGTTCCTTACAAAGGAATAGTCTGTGGATCTTAATATTAGACACCCCAAAACTTACCAGTTTTGTGAGATTGATCATTTTAAATAATTGGAGAACATTTTCGGCAGAACGAAGTGAGGACAGAAACAAACAAATGCAACCATTTAAGGAAGCTATCCAGATTTGCCTAAGCACGAGACGCTTTCTTGCTTCACAGTGGTAGAGCCAAGTTCTGGAGTATTCACACGCTTGGTCCGCTGCATCTGCTGTCTGCAAGGGTGACTGGTAGAAATGATAACTGGGATCCTGCGATCCAGGGTGAATGGCACATCAGGGCTTAGCATCGTGGGGCAGGTGAGTCTTGGACATACGAGTTTCTTCAGAGGTCACAGTGCTCTGGTACAGGGAAGCTTGAGTCTCCAAAAGAGTCAGCTTGAGCCTCTTCAACAGAAGTCTGGCAGTATGAACCTCTTTAGTACTAGCAGGCAGCTAAAAGCTAACCTTTTCTTCTAGGGGTGAGCTGTATTTGGTCATGTAGTCCAGAGGATGGAAGAGGCTGTTTCACAGTCTTTCAGACAACACGAGCATTGTCAGGAGGTTGGTGTCTGCCCCATCCTTCCTTATTCCTCTCTGCCTTCAAGAGACTTTTTTAATGTGTTCAGGGCCACGATGTTGCTCAGTTTTGCTACCAACTTTCCTTCTGGACGATCTTTTATTTCAATGTCGGCTTTCTTTCCTCTATGTGCTCACTGACGTCTCTGATGGTGGGGTCCAGCTCTAATTAGTCTGTATATGAAGTTTAATTCACTGTGACTCTTTCGGCACTAGACTCAAATAGGCTTTGATGTCTGGCTGGAGCTTTGATCCCAGACCCTCAAATGGTGGTCATCACCCAATCTCAAAGGATTGCACTTTACTTCCCCCCTCCCATCTGGAGGCAGCTCTCCTCAATTACATCATTTGTCTCTGTTTGGCCGTAAAAGCTGCAAGGCATCATTTGTTGCTTTGCTCTATAGCAAACCATGCAGCTAATGCTCCTACACTGTCTGCAGTAGAATATTCACTGCGGGATGAAGAAGTTGCGGAGTGATGCTCAGACTTTGATGGGGTGCTCTTAGGAACTGTTCTGTCCAACGCTGTAGCTTCAGACTGTGATGTAAGAACATTTTCCAGCCCTTGCTTAGAAAATATCTCCAAGCATAAACTACACAGTTGCAGCGTGTCCCACCAACAGGTTTTCTGGCTTTCCTGCTGTCCCTTTAGCTCACTCTCTAGATCCTTAAGAGAGAAGTTCATTCTGTCTTTAATGTCACACTCTCGGGGGGCTATAGCAGTGTTTCTGAGAAGAATAAGCCTCGTGGAGAGGAAAAGATCGAGTAGGGCTGAACACCACGTGAAAGAGAGACACAAGCAGTGCTGGTGGAGGAAGAAGTACCAGGGACTGCTTAAAAGAGAGGCAGGAAAAGTCAAAACCACAGTGGAATGGGAGACCTTGTTCGTCATGGAAGGGGGTTGTGGGTGATTACTGCCTCTCCCCCTTCCTGCCCCCCGCACAAACAAAACACAGAATCCAAGAATAAAGAAAACCCAGCAAACTAAACTAGAGAGGAAAATATTTGGCTGTTAGGTTCAGAAGAGAACAGGGGCAACCAGGCCAGTCACACTTAATCTGATGTCATTGGGAATTTTCCTGGAAAAACAATTACCACATTGAGCTCCTTGCTTCGAACTTCATTTGACAGCCCGAGTTTGTTTTAATTGGCATCTGAATGAACAGCATTGTTTATTAATGTGTAACGGATACTTTGGAAAGCACAGCCCCGAGTTTTCCTATCCACGACCACTTTATTGGCGGAATCCTCTGCATACATTAGTTTTAATATTTCAGCTCATTGGGAACACCTTTTCACGGAGATGGACAAGCTGCTATGACAAATGGCTCGCTTTGGACTAAAAAGCCGGCCCAAGGAGGCATTTGGTGGGGAGCAGGGGTGTGTGTGTGTGCTGGGGGGAGGTAGGAAGGTGAAGAAGTTTGGAGACAGGGTGACTTGTCTGTCAGTTGTAACAAGATTTATTAGCAGTGTGTAAAAACACGTTTCAGCCTCCCCCCCCCACCTTGGACTATATAAATATAGTTGTCAGTGTGTGACATAACACAGGCCACGATACGAGGGTCCACCCGGCCAGAAGGAGCCTAATTCAGAACTAGAAAGCAAGAGGTCTGTTTATAAATGAGTGAAACAATGGACTTGCCAGAGTGGCATTTGGCAAGTAAAGCCAAAACACTACTCTTGAAGTGTCTTCCTGAAACCAGGGAGCAGACCTAGCTCTTGTCTTACCGCGCTGTGCTTGGCACACAGTGGGCATAAACCATGTGTGACCTGTAGACTTTGTATGTGTGGGAACATCTGAATATGGTTCCATTTTTTTTAATATCATGCTAATTAGGAACCAAGGCTGTGGTCCCTTTCATGTCCGTGGGAGGTATGGTCGGGGACAAGGAGTGTACGTGGGTGGCAAGGGAGTGCTTGCTTCTGTTTGTGTCTTTGTTGGTAAAGGTCAACTTAATTCTGTTTGTTAGAGAGATTAAGTGGGTCCTATTAAGTTTAAAAGTATGCTAATAGAAAAACAATTTACAGGTAGCCTGCATCCTTCGGAGCCTCTCCTCCAGCACGAATCAGTTGCGTGCTCCTGGGCCTCGTACTAAGTGAGAATGCTGATGCCATGAAGGTATTAAAGCAGTCCCTGCCTTCAGGGGGCTTTTACGATGTAGCTGGAGAGAAGACACACAGTGAACACCTAAATACACAGACTGTGTGTGCCCAGAACCAGAACCAGATAAGAGCATGTCAGAAGGACCAAACACTCATGCTGTTAACCAGTTCAGAGCTGGGACATGAATCAACTGATCTTGGAAGATTAGACCACACTGGGGGTGGAGGGTTGAATTCTTTGCTGGAGCTTACTCCAGCTGGACAAAGGTGTAAAATTCTAAAATCATGACTTGAAATGTGTTCTTTCATATAACACTTTGTCTTAACTTCATCAAATTGTGACTTGCTAAATACAATTTTGGAGGTGCTTGGATGCATTGTTTTTTAAAGGGACACGTGGTATATAGCCCAATAAGTCAGCTAGTGGCATTTCCAGATACCCAGTGAGTGGCGTCCCAAGGACACACACAGGTCAAATCCCAAATGCTACTTCAGGGAAAATTTTTGTAAGTCTCCCTGGAGGGGGAAAAAAAACAACTGAGAGTGATAACTCTCTCCCTCTCTTTCTTACTTTTTTTTTTCTTTCTTTTTTCTTTGTTTTTCAAGAGAGGGTTTCTCTGTGTAGCCTTGCCTGTCCTGGAACTCGCTCAGTAGATCTGCCTGCTTCTGCCTCCCAAGTACTGGGATCAAGGGTGTGCGCCACCACGGCCCAGATGAGAGCAATAACTCTTAAGATTTACATTCTGGTCTACCACGTCTGTTAGCTCCATTTTACTATTGGGTAAATGGAGGCACAAAGAGAGGCCACTTATCTTCCTATTGGTGGATGAAACAGGATTCAGATGCAGACAGTTTGATTTACGAGGCAGGACTCTAGTAAACAGAGTCTAAGGAACAATAAAAGGCCAAACCCTAGGCGCTCACATGCCACGCCTCTTAAAGTCCAGGCTTTCATAAGACCTGATGGGGGCTGCTGCCCTTACAGCAGCATCATTGAAAATTTGCCTGATTTTCAATGCCTTCTACAGCAAAGCTTCCATTGAAAAACTAAAACAAACCAAAAAAGAGTTTAAGAACAATGTCCTTGCCTTATTTTTTTTTTCCAATTACAAATAGAGTTTAAAACAAAGACACCCTCCAAACCCAAATCCACAGAAATGGTGTTCGAGTACCCAGCCGACATTAGCTTGGGATGGCAAAACCCACATCCAAGGGAACGGATTCGGAGTGGGCACGTGAAGAAGGGGTTAAGTTGCAGAAAGTTGTCCCGGGAGCCCGAAGCCACGGCGCCCGCGGACCGGCCCTCGAGGTTGGCTGTAACAAGATGCCCGTCCCGCGCCCGCCACGGTCTCCGGAGATGGAGCCGAGCCAATCGGCGCCTAGGGGACCGCGGTGCCGTCGGACCGAAAAGGGGGCGCGGAGCCGGGGCGGAGCCGGGGCGGGGCGCAGGCGACCGCGGCGCCTGTCA